GAAAACTGCACTTTTTTTAGTTGTTCTGCGTAATACAAGGAAATGTTTTTTCTGCCCTTAAAGCTCTTGTAATTTAAAAACCTTAATAGCAAAGCAAGGAGCTTTTTCTGTTTCTATGAGCTCAATTTCCTTTATGTTTTAATGACTTCTTCATAATAGTAATGGAGATGAAGTATGGATGGATAGCAGCTGTAAAGTGCTTTTCATAAATCACTTTCCAATTCATTAGGATTGGGCCTACTTGTAAATATCTCATGACTTACCTTTTGAGAAATTTCTACTATTTATTTTTGGGTTGTAGGCCACTCCCGACTGTGCTCAGGGCTTAATCCTGGCATTGCACTTCAGAATCATGCCTGGTGAGGCTAGGGCGACCATATAAGGTTTTCGGGATTGGACTAGTGTTGGCTACATGTACGGCAAGCACCTTAACTCTTGTACTATCTTTCTGGTTGTCTTTTGATCTTTATAAAAAGTTTTTTTAAATTAATTTTTTAATTTTGTTTTTGGCCATACCTGTCAGTGCTCAGGGGCCACTCCTGGTGGACTTGGGGGATCACGTGGGGTGCAGGAATCGAACCTGGGTCTGCCGCATGCAAGGCAAATGCCCTCCTTGCTGTACTGTCACTCCTCCCCAGCACTTCCCTTTTCGAATGCATATTTCTCTGGGGGCTGGAGCGATAGTGCTGCTTGGGAGGGAGCCCGCCTTACCCATGACCAACCTGGGTTTGATCCCCAGCTCCCCGTATTGTTTTCCTGAGCACCACGAGGAGTGATCTCTGAGCATAGCTGGGTGTAGTGTCCCCCCCCCCCACAAACACCCACAAAATAGTCAAATGCACATTTTTCTATTAGGTGGATACAGGGTAGAAAAGGAGGAATTATTTTAAAACTGAGTCTTTAGATGTGTATTGTTATTGTTCTAATGGAAGTAAGTAAGTAAAGTAAAGGCTCTCCCGTTGATCATCGATTTGCTCGAGAGGGCCCAGTAACGTCTCCATTGGAAACTTTTGTTGTTACTGTGTCTGGCATATCGAATACTCTCGATAGCTTGCCGGGCTCTCCGAGAGGGGCGGAGGAATCGAACTCGGGTCGGCCATATTGGCTGCGTGCAAGGCGAACGCCCTACCCACTGTGCTATCGCTCCAGCCCCAATATTGTTTTCTAATGGAAAAACAATAATAAAATTCAAGACTTCTGAGACCATTGCCTAAGGCTACACAGCTTGAATAGGAGCTGTGCTAGAACATATCCCCAACTTGTTGCCCAGAGTTCCTTCTCCTGTGTCAACAGGTTACTGTCCACTTGTCCAAGTATACTGGGGAACAGATTTTTATTGTTTTATGGTAAACATGATCTGAAAACCCATTTTATGAATGTCTGAAGTGGTTTTCTGATTACGAATGTCTTCTAATTATGAGTCCTACTATGTTAGATTTCACTATCTCACTGACCCACCTCTACAACTCCTTACTCCCAAACACTTTTCTTTAGAAAATAAGAACTTTCACAGCATCCACCACCTTGGGAGAGGTTAAATTATTTCCAATTATTGATAATGTTGATGACAGTTTGGAAAAAACATGTGTCTTATATTCCTTCAGTGTGGCAGATTTTTATATTTTAAAAATTAATTTGCTTTTTTGAAGCTAGTCTAAAATCCTTTGAAACTAAACTTCTGAATAGTTAAATAAGAGCAGGAAACAATTTTTTTCTAATTCAAAGATTGAGTGACTACCTGTGAGTTCCTAAAACTGACTTTAAAAGCCACTCTCAGGAAGATATTCCAAACATGCATTGTTGTTGCATTGTTGGGATTAAGAAGTAGCCTACCAAGTTAAAGAGTCCAACCAAGAGCCCTAAGAGTCCAAGGTATAATTCTGTTATTCAATCTTACTATATTTATTCAACAAACATTTACTGAATGCCTTATACGTGCCAAGGTCTGGGGTTGCCAAGCTTAGGGATTTATGGGATAAAAGTCTGTCCCTATTCTTGAAGCACACACACACGCTAGCAGATGAAGAATATTTAAATAAGTAAGTACAATAAAATTTTATATAAACTGATAAAGTTCTATACAGAAAAATCAGTTCTCTGAGTGGAGAAATCTTTTGAAAGCCTCTCTTAAAAGGCAGATCTTCAGTGGAGACTTTGAAAAGATGAGTTAGGGCCTTTCAGAGCACTTGAGCTTATCGGAGAGCAAGAACACATGCAGAGGATTGAGATGAGAAATTTAGAAAGTACCACAATTGGATGTGTTTTATTTACTTAATATTATTTTGTTAATTTATTTAGAAATGGTGTTTGGACCACACCTGGTAGTGCTTGGGGGCAGCTCCCGGCTCTTGTGCTTGGGAATCTCTCCCAGTGGAACTCAGGTTTATATACATTTGAGCTCTCTCTCTGGCTTCTATTCATTCATTTAGTTAGTTTTGGTTTTGGGTCATACCCAGTGATGTTCAGGACTTTTTCCTGACTCTCCACTCAAGGAATCACTCATGAATTACTCTTGGCGGTGCTCTGAGGACTATATAGGATGCCGGGATCAAACCCGGATTAGCCGCATGCAAGACCCACTGTATCATCACTCCAGCCCCCTATTAATCTACTTAGAAGTTGCTCTAATTCATTTTCAAAGCACATTTTCTTGTTAATACACATATTTAGGAAAAGACCTGTTTTCCAAAGGGAAGCAATTATGGAAAGTGTATTTTTCTGCTGCCTTTGCAGAACATCTAGGGGCAGCTGCACACTGAATTTGTTTCTGTGCTGTGTGTCAAGCTATTCCTCAAGTTCCAGATTCTGTATGCAAGGCCACGATTCTATTCACTGTACTCTCACTACTCTGAAGGGGGTCAAAGGAGAAGGAAGTGAGAAGTCTTAGATGTAGTTTTAACTATATTGTAAAGATGCATGGGAAAAATAAGATGAGACACTGAAAGACTTTTTGAAGACGAGATAAAGGAAATGTCATGAGCAATAGATAATGTGGACCTAAGACTGGTCCAGACACATATGGATAAGTGTTAACAAAAAAGGAGTTAGTGGTGCTGCTTGCTGCATCTCCAACATCAGGCTGCGCCCAGACTCAGCCGCTGTGCTCACTAGGGACTGTGCAACATTTGCGCTTATGCACGTTTCAGTAGTGGGCACCAGAAGTTGCCTTGATACCAAGGTCAAACTTCTTGACCACGGTGCTTCCATATCTTTTTTAGTTGTGATGCTTTTATACCCCAGTGCTTGCATACACTTAACTGTGGTGTGGTCAGCTCTGTGAGGCCAGGTGGGATTGAACTCATGGCCTCGTGTTGACAAGATCTGTGCTCTAAGGAGAGCTCTCCTAAATTGTAACTACTTTGAATGGTGTGTACCGTATTGGCACATGGATTCTAAGTTGGTGCTAGAAAGAAAGTGAATAAGGACAAATTTTCAGAGTAGTTTTATTTGTTAGACTTACAGAAAGTGAACGTCTCTCAAGCCATTCTCAGAGATGAGCTGTTTGTTGTTCTTTCTGGATTGTATTTTCTACACTTGATTTTAGCCAAAAAGCCAAGAAATGGTTCAGATTTTATTTTCTATTTAATTATATATACATTTCTGTAGCACTGTAGCACTGTCCTCCTGTTGTTCATCGATTTGCTCTAGCGGGCACCAGTAACTTCTCACAACAAATTGTGAGACTTGTTGTTACTGTGTTTGGCATATCGAATATGTCACGGGTAGCTTGCCAGGCTTTGCTGTGCGGGTGAGATACTCTCGGTAGCTTGCCAGGCTCTCCAAGAGGGGTGAAGGAATCGAACCCGGGTTGGCCATATGCAAGGCAAACGCCCTACCCACTGTGCTATCACTCTAGCTCATATATTCTGGTCTCCAAATATGCATTTCTACTAGAGGAATTTTCAGTAGTTGCTGGGGAATCTGGATATTGCCTGCCCTCCCAATGTGGTCCTAATGGTCTTGCTAAAGGATGTGCAGATGTTTCGCTGCGGGCCTAGCCCAGATTACACATGTGTTCTATCACTTGATGTCTCCTTAGCCTTATATATAAATTTGTAAAACTCAAAATAATCTCTGGGGCAGTGAGATAGTACATTGAGTAAGATCTTGCCTTGCATGCAGCTGACCCTGGTTTGATCCCTGGCTAATTACTGCCAGGAGGGCATCCTGAGCACAGAGCCAGGAATAAGTCTTGAGAACAGCCACGTGTGATCCAAAAACCATAAACATAAGATTTAAAAAGTCTCTTTCAGTAACTTGTTCTTTACCCCCCTTCAATATTGTGAACACTGTTTAAAATTACTGATAGCCTGCTGTTTAGTTATACCACAATTTAAAGGTTTTAATTGATCCTTTCGTGACAAATAATTGCAGGTTTCATTATTTTTAAAAAGCTATATTGAAATAAACCTAAAAGCTAAACCAGGTGTCAGAGAGATAGTACAGGGGTTAAGGCATTTGCTTTGCATACTGCTAACCCTGATTTGGTCCCAGCACTGCGTATAGCCCTCTGAATGAGCACTGCTAGGAGTGATTCCTGAGCACTGCTGGATATAGATCAAGCACCCTCTTTCTACTCTCTCCCCCCGAAAATAAAAACAACAATGTCCTAAATACTACTAGTCATTTTTTTTCTGATATAGGTACTTCTTTTTGGGCTGGAGCGATAGCACAGCAGGTAGGACGTTTGCCTTGCACGCTGCTGACCCGGGTTCGATTCTGCTGCCCCTCTCGGAGAGCCCGGCAAGCTACCGAGAGTATCTCGCCCACATGGTAAAGCCTGGCAAGCTCTCTGTGGCGTATTCAATATGCCAAACACAGTAACAACAAGTCTCACAATTTGTTGTGAGATGTTACTGGTGCCTGCTCGAGCAAATTGATGAGCAACGGGAGGACAATGCTACAGTGCTATGGGTACTTCTTTTTAAAAAAGGGAATTTAATCTGAAAATACCCTGATGTTGTTCTGGGATATCTAATAGAGGTGCTTACTCTTTCCAGGGTGTTCCTGAAAAGAAAATCCTTCCAATCACAGTTCCCAAGTCACCAGCCTTTTCACTGAAGAACAGAATCCGAATGCCCACTAAAGAAGTTGAAGTGAGTCCATAGTAGAACTTCTTATCTGTTAATCACTCTATGAACATAGTTTTTCTTTAATGGGATCCAAAGGCAATCATGTGTGGAGTTATATTCAGCCAAAGTATGAATGTTTGATCATTGTTTTTGCTCTTCTAAGAACAGAGTAGCTGATAAGAGTATGAATCTTCTGGCCTTTGGGGTAACAGATCATGACTTATTGCAGACTTGTTATTAATGAGTTGAAAATGTGTTTTTGTTACATGAGTCAAAAAGTTGTCAAACCCCTTCCTGTTTTTTGTTTGTTTGTTTTTTCCCTGAGCTACCTCCCTGCTCTGTGAGGGGATTTAAAATTCTTAGCAGGCAGTTAGATTCACCTTGACCTAGGTCCTTTAACCCAAGGGTTGCAAAGTTAATGATGTGATCGTCATGAAAATTGAATACATAAACTGTCACTGATCAGTCCAGCTTCTTGTTACATCTTTCATTTTATCTATAAATACCCGAAGTTTGGGTGATTTTATATAAAATCTCAAGCCTAAACCTTTTTAGAGGTTCATTTGAAACTAAATGCATGGTACTCTCATGTTACCAGTTGGAACCCAAACAACTTGATCCTGTTTTACTGGATTTGGCAATTCTGTCTCTCAGTCACATGTTTTAACATAGTCAGAGGCCAGGTCAAACAAGAGGCTAAGATACAAGCTTGGGTATTACCCTTTTATGCCCATCATTTTATTCACACTGATTCTTACAACCTTCTTGTTAAAAACTTTAGCTCCGGGCCGGAGCAATAGCACAGCGGGGAGGGCATTTGCCTTGAAGTGGCAACCCGGGTTCGATCTCTGGCATCCCGTGTGGTCCCCTGAGCAATGCCAGAAGTAATTTCTGAGTGCAGAGCCGGGAGTATCCCCTAAGCACCTGTGAGTGTGACCCAAGCAGCCCAAAAAAAAAAAAAAAAAAAAAAACCAGAAAAAACCTCCCCAAACTTCAGCTCCTTTTAGAGTTATTATGGGAACCAGAGAGTATAAAGTGGTTATGGTGTTTATTTTACATGCAGCAGACCCTGGTCTGTCCCCTAAACACAGCTGGGAGTATTTCTGAGCACCTCCAGTTTGGTTCAGACCCCTACCCTCACACACAGAAAACAAAACCTAGAGTAATTGTTGTCATCCTTTATCATTCTTTACATTGGTCTCTTCCTTTGATTCAGTAGATGGCTTAGATTTTATCTGTTTTGGTAGAAAAGAAAGTTAAATTCCTAAGACATTGATTGACTTCTCTCATATAATGTCTTTAAAAAAATTTTTTTGGGGAGGGGTACACCAGAGTAAGCATTGCTCAGGGCTTACTCCTAGCTCTGTGCTCAGGGATCACTTCATGTGGGCTTGGAGGAGCATATGTAGTCCCAGCGATTGAGCCCATTGCAAGATAAACCTTTTGTCACTCCAGCCTGTATGTCTTTTTAAAAAAAATAATTTTGTTTTGTCTTTTGGGACCCCATCCTGCAGTTTCCTGTAGCTACTCCTAGCTCAATGCCAAGGATCACTACTAGTGTTTGGGGGACATGGAACCCCAGCCTTTAGCATGTAAGGCATGTGCTCCTGCCCTTTGGGCTATCTCCCAGGCCTCATTTAATTACCTTGGACTTCATATTCTGAGGAGGTGAGAGAGAAAAGGGATTTCTTTTTGTTATAGGGCTATACTGTGGTTCCAGGACCAGTATAGCATCACATCAGCAGTGCTGGGGATTGAACTCAGGGCCTTCCATCAATGAGGGCCTGATCCATATCCCCAGTCCAGGAATGTTTGTTTTAAAGCACAATTTTTCTCTTAGGAAGAAGAGGAGCCAGTAATAAGAGCTCAACCTGTGCCTCATTATGGGGTGCCTTTTAAACCCCAAATTCCAGAGGCAAGAACTGTGGAAATGTGCCCTTTCTCTTTTGATTCTCGAGACAAGGAACGTCAGTTACAGAAGGAGAAGAAAATTAAAGAATTGCAAAAAGGGGAGGAGGTAGGTGTTTTCATATCTACCAGTAGTCAAAAGCTGCTTTTTGATTTCTCAAAGATAATCTTTTATGTGAAATTAGACCCTACATTGATTCCTTTGGTAACCATACAAAGTATAATCAGGGTTCTTCATTTTAATAATCGCTTCAGGCATAAAGAGGTTAAATTACTTGCTCATAACAGTGCTGCCATTTATTGACAATATAGTGAGGAGAAAATATTTTTCTTTGAGTGCATTACTCTTTCTGCTAGAACATGCTGCTTTGAAAACTGACCAATCCTATTTTTTAGTCTTTCAGATGTCTAGAGTATCGACTGATTTATTTTCAGAGAGGCCTTAATTTAAGGATTTTTTTCCCTCTTTTTAGATGCCCAAGTTCAAGGCACTTCCTGTGCCTCATTTTGACACTGTTAATCTACCAGAGAAAAAGGTGAAGAACGCGACCCAGATTGAGCCTTTCTCCCTGGAGACAGACAAAAGGGGTGCTCTGAAGGCACAGACTTGGAAACATCAGGTAGGAGTTGAAGAGAATAGTTAATATTAATTGTTTGATTGTTGAGTTGTTAACACTAGGTAGTCCCAGTCCACTGAAATTTGCCTGGGAGTTAACACACTACATAATGTCAGGCGTTCTTATTAAAAATTGAGTCAGCAGTTTTTATCTGTAAATATTTTAGACTTTCTAGGTAACTTTTGGTCTCTGTCACATATTTCTCTGTGTTTGTGTGTGTGTGAGAGTGTGACCTTTTTAAGAAAGTAAAAATCAAAGAAGAAAAAGAGAAGACTTTTTTTAATAAGAGGGGATAATTTTTAAAAAATGTCATTCTTAGCTCAAGGAATGTGCATAAAGGCTATAAGTTGGATTTTATCTATTTGCTGAACTTTGCTGATCCTTGCTTATATAATCATCTGAGGAACGTGAGAACTGACTTCATAGGAATTTAAGCTCTCACCTGTTTGGTTTATTTGAGATCAAGTAGAAGCAGTAATAGGAGAATAGGTTCTCATGCAGGATTCTCAATGTGATACTGTGATAAATTGTGCTGTTTATATAGTGTGCTGTTTATATAGCTGCCAGACAATTAAAGACAATGGGTTGGTTGTTGTTGACTAGTTAAATTGGAATCTAATTGTGCCCTATCTAGAAAGAAGAATCCCCTGAATCTTGGAGATTGGAGCAAATCTTTGTAGTCACCCTAAGGGACTGGGGAGATGGCTCAAAGGGCTGGAGCAGACGCTCTGCATTTAGGAGCCTGGATTTGATCCCCAGCTTTGCATGGTCTGTCCCCGCTGCTGAAACCCAAGAGATGTTATTGTCTCTGAATCAACATAGGCTCATTCCCCCTTTTTATACAAAATAAGTCTTTATATCTTCTAGTTCTCAGAGCATTTAGATTTTGTCAGCATGATGTCCTCCTATAGGAGGTTTCTAGCTAAGGTTTAAATAAAATCATCTGCAGATCTAATCTAAAGAAAATTTAGATTAAGTGATCTTTATTGATAAGTATTTCAAAAACATTACTCGAGTCGTTAATGTGGTAGTCGAGGAAATTCTGTAGTGGTTTATCTGTTGGTCTTTCTTTCTAATAGCTGGAAGAAGAGCTGAAACAGCAGAAAGAAGCAACTTGCTTCAAGGCTCGACCAAACAACGTCACCTCCCAGGAGCCCTTTGTTCCCAAGAAAGAAAGAAAAAACCTTTCTGGTATTATAATATATACTCTTAGGGAATTATGACAGAATTGTCAGTCTTCCCAGGGCTGTGCATAGGGTTCAGTTGTGTTAAACAGAAACATTTGCCTTTATAGGAGAGGATCTAATTTTTTATCTCCTTGGTACAATTCTTTTGCTTTTCTTGAACTCAGTAGTTACATTGAAATGTAGAATTCATTGGTGCCAAATTCATAGAACAAGAACCTGGGCATAGACATCTGGCATTTCAGTAAGTTAAATGTTTTCCTGCCCAAAGAATAGCACCTAAATGGAGGATGGGGTCAGGTGGGAGGGGGCAGGACCTGTTTCTGAAGTTTATCTAGAAGCAAACCTTAGATACAGTACATTTCTATACCAGATAAAGGTATCAGAAAATGGGATGCATCTCCTACATCTGTTTCAAATTAGCCTTGTAATTTTGAGCAAGCTGTTTAACCTGTGAGAAGTCTTGCTTTTTTTCTAACTAGATCTTCCTAGCTATTGAAATTCTAGGCATTTTTATGTGTGATTTATCCTGTCTCCCACTGGGACTCTTTAGCTGCTCAGCTTCTCTGTTGCTTGCTCTGCATGTCTATGCTACTTGCTACTTCCACTAATGCATGGATTGTACACATCCTGCTTGTGTATCAATGTTTTCTCTCTTCTTGTACTCAGAGGGCCTTTCTGGTTCTCTAGTTCAGGAACCATTTCAGCTGGCCACTGAGAGGAGAGCTAAGGAGTGGCAGGAACTGGAGAAGAAAATGGCAGAGGTCGAAGCCAAAAAAGCCCAGGAGTTGGAGGAGGCCAGACAACAGGAAGAAGAGCAAGAGAAGGAAGAGCTGGCGAGGATACGGAGAGCAATGGTAACTGGGCACCCAAGCACTGACTAACCCAAGGTTCTCTGTTGTAATTTCTCTGTTCTTGCCCCTTTCCAGAGAGGATGTGTCCTATCAAGGCACATCAAAGTCAAGTGTAAGGGGGAAGTCACAAATTTATGGTGTTCTCTTCAATAAACCAAAGATGGTGACAATTGAGCCACAGATAAGGCTAAAAATGTATATACATTGTACTCGTTGTACTTGCTACTTATATCATGATTTTAGCCCTTTTTAGAAACCAAAGGTAGAAAACTAAAAATTTTCATAAGATCTAAAAAATTGTGGGACAGGAGCCGTAGTATAACAGGTGCAGGTGCTGTGCTTGCTTTGCAGTCTGCAGACCGGGCTTGATCTCCGTCATCTCAGGAGTGATCCCTGAGCACAGAGATCAGAGAGATGAGTCCAGAGCACTGCTGGGTGTGACCCAAAAGCGAAATTTTTTTTTAATAGTTTAAAAATATCTTATTGGATTCAGATTGAATTTCTTTGAGGTGTCTTCATCTGGAGGATATTGTGTGATTTAACTTTTCAAAATAATGCATTCCTTGGATCTCTTTTAATTTAGCTTTTATTATTTCCTGTGGGAGTCAAGAATCAATGCATTAGAACTGGAGCTACGGCATTTATCTTGCACATGGTCAACCAGGATTTGGTCCCCAGCATCCCAAGCACCTCCAGGAGTAATTTCTGAGTGCAGAGCCAATAGTAATCCCTGAGCCTCATTGAATGTGACCCAAAAAGCCAAAAAAAAAAAAAGTCAATGTGTTTTACAATTAGTCAAGTATACAGAGTATATAGAGATAGTAAAGGACATGAGAATTTGTAACTTTATTTTTGTTAATACTCTATGCAAATTCTGTAATATTATAGAGCATATCAGTCAAGGTAATTGTACATGCTAATGCATGTGTAATAATTTAGATATTATTAAAAAGGAAGTTTAATTCTTTTTTTCTTTTTTTTTTTTTTTTGTCCTTTTGGGTCACACCCGGAGGTGTTCAAGGATTACTCCTGATGGTGCTCAGGGAACCATATGGGATGCTGGGGATCTAACCCAGATATGCCATGTGTAAGGCAAATACCCTATGCATTGTACTATTGCTTTTGCCCCAGGAAGCTTAAATTTTTTTTTTTTCCTTTTTGGGTCACACCTGGCGATGCACAGGGGTTACTCCTGGCTCTGCACTCAGAAATTACTCCCAGCTGTGCTCGGGAGACCATATGGGATGCTGGGAATTGAACCCAGGTTGGCTGCATGCAAGGCAAACGCCCTAAATCATTCCAGTCCCAGGAAGCTTAATTTTTAATAATGATTTTTTTTCATTAGTAGGAAGGATACAAACTGTTTTAGAGCATTAATGAGGAAAAAAAAGACAGCTTTAAATAAAACTTCATATGATTATTAAAAGAATGATTTTGGAAATATAGAAGTACTTGAGAGTCTAAAAGTTTTAGACTCACTGCTGATACATGTGTTGACAGAGGTGATGGTGGCTCGAGGTACAAATTGTTCAAGGGAAAAATTCTACTTGCCATCTGCTATTTGGATGAGGGAAAAAGAGTATGACCCTCTACTTCAGATAATCTTTATAAAAGTGCGACTTTTCCAAACTACTGTACCTCACAGTTTAAGAAACTGGGCTCTAGATCATGTTTTTCATCTGCTGGTTGAAAATAGTGTGAAAATTTGAAAGCCACTTCTCAGGTTCAAACTAGTGCAATGGTTTGCAACCACAAGTAGTAGGTAGAAAAGGTTGAAAATCCCTACTCTGGGGGCTGGAGCAATAGCACAGCGGGTAGGGCGTTTGCCTTGCACGTGGCCGACCCAGGTTCGATTCCCAGCATCCCATGTGGTCCACTGAGCACTGCCAGGAGTAATTCCCGAGTGCAGAGCCAGGAATAACCCCTGAGCATTGCAGAGTCTGACCCAAAAAGCCAAAAAAAAAAAAAGAGAGAGAGAGAATCACTACTCTGGGGGCACAGCAGGTAGGGCCATTTACCTTGCACATGGCCAACCCAAGTTCCTTCTCCAGCATCCCATATGGTCCCTGAGTGCCGCCAGAAATAATTCCTGAGTACAGAGCCAGGAGTAACCCCTGAACATCATTGAGTGTGATCCAACATCCTCCCACTGCCCCCTGCCCCCTGCCTCTCCCACAAAAAAACAAAATGTCACTACTCTAGTTCAGTGGTGATTTTTTATTTTTCTACTCTGCAGGTGCACAAAGCTAATCCAATACGAAAGTACCAGGGTGTGGAAATAAAGTCAAGTGACCAGCCTCTGACTGTGCCTGTGTCTCCCAAGTTCTCTACTCGATTCCAGTGCTAAACCCACTGTGAGCTGCAGACACTATCTGGAAGCAGGAGCTGCTTTTCACATCCTATCTGAAGCTTTCAACATTACCCTGCGTGAAGAGCTCATTTCTACAAACTTACCTGCATGACCAGTGGAGCATCAGTGACAACTCTGGACTCCAATATTAGAGAATTGTTTGCTTACATTATTGAGGCGAATGAGACTCAGCTTCGTTTGTTTTGATCAGACCTCACATCATTATTTGCTTTGAACCACCAGTTGACTTTATTTTATTATTGTTATTTCTCTTTTTTTTTAGCCACACCGGGTGAGTCTCCGAGGGCAACTCCCAGCTCTGTGCTCAGGGACCATTGCATGTTTTCAACCTGATGAACTATCTCCTGGGTCCCTTCAGAGTTGACCTTTAATATGGATCTTAATTTCTACTAGAATTTAAAGTCTTTGTATCAATAGTGTAATTTCTATTTCTCCTTACCCTGTCCCCTTTTTCTATTTTAATCAGAAAATAAACTTAAATAGGAAAATAGAACTTAAGTCATGACTTGAAGAGGCCTAGTTAGTTTATCAGATTCCTACCCTCTCTCTGCACAAAGTAAATACAGAGTTAAAGAGCATGTCTTCACTGAGCACTGGAAATGAGGCTGGAAAATCTTGAGCCACACCAGTGAAGAAGAAGATGTCATAGACTAATGGTGACCTCTCAGCAGCTACTGGCAGTTTCAAGCAAAGCTCCTGTGATGTTCCATCCTTCCTTGTTGACACTGATAAGAAATGGGATGGTGCAGCATGCATTGTAAGTCCTCCAGTGCCCCTGACTGGAATAAATGTTTGTCTTCCCCAAACTCTCTGATTTTGTATTTTCATGTTTTCAGTTTTTTTTAATCAGGATATTTTAGGGAATATGGAAGCATTGAGAAATGGATCCTGGAGCTTCTGAAAGTACAAGCTCTGTCATTAGAGGCAAGTGCTTTGTAACTTTTCTCCGTCTCAGGCCTGAATTTCCTCCCATGTTTAGTTCACTCCCTCCAGGGAGCAGCTTGACAGCTGTCATGGCTTCGCACAGAAGGCCTTCTTCCCTGAATGTGCCTTTTTTCTTCATCAGGTCAATTCTTCGGCTGGTATTCAGCACAAGTAAAGAATTTTTTTTTTTAAATCAATCCTGTTTTGACTCCCTAATCTACTTATGTAAGAATAAGCATTTCCTCCTTGCATCTCCCCAGTGTTTCTTTTAGAACCAGTGTTCTAATGGAACCATACCTCTTCGCTCATTCACAAACTAGTTGAGACGAGGCAGTTCTAATATACAGGAAGAGGTTCAGTTGACAAAGCAAACATGGTTGAAATATTAACATTTAGAAAATTCCTCTGAAGGGTACATGGAAATCCTAATCTAGGTATTCTTGCAATCTTTCTGTAAACCTGAAGTTACACCGAGCGAATAAAAAGACACATCATTGTTTTCTGACTCGAGAGAGAAAGGGCAGGGGTAAGAGAGGGAGAGAGAGAGAGAAGAGAGTCTCCTTTAGGCTTGGCAACAGATTATACAACCATATTTCTATCTGGTGATCAGTGTTGCTTTGCCCCAGAGAGAGTCAGGTGAGGAGATTGGAGCATGTGAAATGGGAATGTGGGGGGAGATGTTCTTACTGTTGTCAAGGTGAGAATATCTAGCACAGTAGGTAGGGCGTTTTCCTTGCACACTGCCGACCCAGGTTCGATTCCTCCATACCTCTCAGAGAGCCCGGCAAGCTACCGAGAGTATCTCGCCTGCACAGCAAAGCCTGGCAAGCTACCCCTAATGTATTCAATATGCCAAAAACAGTAACAACAAGTCTCACAATTTGTTGTGAGTTGTTACTGGTGCTCCTCAAGCAAATCCAGGAGGACAGTGCTACAGTGCTACAGTTTAAGTAGTTTTTTTGTGTGTGGGGTTTTTTTGTTTGTTTGCTTTTTGGGTCACACCTGGTGATGCACAGGGGTTACTCCTGGCTCTGCACTCAGGAATTACTCCTGGCATTGCCCAGGGAACCATATGGGATGCTGGGAATCAAACCCAGGTCGGCCGCATGCAAGGCAAATTCCCTACCCACTGTGCTATCGCTCCAACCCCTAAGTAGTTTTTTTTTGTTGTTTTTTTTTTTTTTGTTTGGGCCACACTTGGCTCTGTGCTTAGGGATCACTCCTAGCAGTGTTCTGGAAACCATATGGTGCTGGGGATGAAACCTGGGTTGATCACATCCGAGGCAAATTCCTTTTCTACTATACCCTCACTGTGGCCCCAAGAGATAGTATCTGGGTCTAGGATGGTAGCAATGGAGGTGGTGAGAAATTCCTGAATTCTTGATGTGTTCCAAAGTTATAATTGAGATTTGCTAACAGATTGAATGTGGAAAGAGAAGGAAGGAAGTAAAAGAGGGCAACCAGGTATCAGAGACAAAGCTCTCCCTCCTTATACTGGGGAATTCCAGTTCTGCCCACCTGGTTGGGCAGAACTGGATTTCCCCAGTATATCATATATTCTGCACTCTTGGAGAGCTTTCTGTTTTGATTTTATTTTCCTGGTTACCTCTTCTGTTCTCTGCCTCTCCTCCCCACCACCCCCCAGCTTCCCCTTAATCTTTAGAGTCCCTGTCTGTGTCTGTCCTAGGTGCCTTTCCTCCTACTTTGTATCAAGCCACTTTCTTCTAACAGTTTATTGTATTTCACTATCTCCATCTGGTTTCATTTTTCACCCTTACATTTTGTTCCTTGTTTAGTTTTTGTTTCAGATGAGGGAATACATCCATCCTCTGAAATGAAGGTTTTGAAAAGGTTGTTACTGAGGAGGTTCATTGTAGACTCCCTGACATTTTTCCACCCTGTTTGCTCCATTCTGGATTACCCCCTTCAGACAGAACCACATCAGGACAGTAATGTGTGACAGTCTCTTTAAGCCAACAGAGAGGGATTATATTTCTTCAGAGCTAAAAATTGAGATGCAAACCTCTATGGCTTCCCCCCCACCCGACCCCTCGAATTTCTCAATTTTCACTGTATCACTGTCATCCCATTGATCTTTGATTTACTTGAGCGGGGGGTGGGGGGGGGGAGGAAGTATCATCTCTATTCCACCCAGCCCTGAGATTTTAGCAGCCTCTTCTTGTCTTTTCCCAATGATTGGAGGTTCTTTCAGGGTCAGAGAATGAGACCTATTGTCATTACTGTATTTGGTTTATTGAATATGCCATGGGGAGCTTGCCAGGCTCTGCCCGTGCGGGCAGGGGTACTCTCGGTAGCTTGCCAGGCTCTCCGAGAGGCATAAATGGGTAGGAAGATTCTTAAAATGTGTTGCGCGGCCGCATAGTCCGAAAAGTGGCCTGGAATGTGACAGACTGAGTCCCTTGGGGTGGGGAGGGCTCTCACACACCCCACAGCCTGGCGCGGAGTCCAGTGGCATGGTTCTGAGGGCCTCCTTTTATACTCCCATCTGGGAGGAGCATCCATGAGTACTGGAGGGTGACCGATGAGGAGATTATCTGGTGCCAGCAGGGTGTGGCTTATGGGTGTGATCCCGGAGACTGGGGGAAGCAGGCAGAGGATCTCTATTCCGGTCTGTTGAGTCCAGAGTCCAAGGTCACAAAGTTCCGCATTATCTGGGTTCTGTGGGACTTTATTCATGGGTGAGGCTCAGCCAGAGCATCCAGAAAGTGGCCTGGAGTGTGACAGTGGTTGGGCAGTGGAGGTCAGCTGCCAGGGCTGGGTCCTTGGGCTGGGCAGGGCTCTCACCCACTCCACAGCCTGGCGCAGAGTCCCTTCTCAATTTTAATGGCTGCATATTTCTCCTAGCATAGACTCATCTAATATTGAATCACTTTCCTGGACCACCTCACATGGTCATTTTTACCCCCAGGCACAACTTCCCAGATCCCCTAATATTCAACTCTGCTTTTACTTAAAAAGAAATTCCTGTTCTTTGTCCATTCATGCCATATCCTTAAGGGAATTGCTCTCTAAACACTCAGATCATGCTGGAATTTGCCTAAATAAAGAACATGTCCTCTGATAGGAATTTACAATTCTGTGAAATCTGACTGCTACACTTTGGCAATTTTGCAACAATCCTAGCCCATGCAAGCATGCAGATTGTTGGAATTCCCACAATTTCAATGTTGTTTTGACTTGGTCATGGATTCCCATGGCTAACAGTCTTTTCCTTATAAGATTACTTTTGAGGCTTGGTGGTTTTGTTCTTATGTAATTGTTTTGTTGCCATCTTGAAGCCTTTTTTTGTTTGTTTGTTTTTATTTATGGGTCAGGATACTTAGGGGACCATATGGGATACTGGAGATTGAACACTGATTGGCTGCATGCAAGGCACTGTACTATCTCTCCAGGTCCAAGTTTTGTTTTATTCTTTACCAATTAATAGTGTTATTTTCCTGGGCAGGTGGAGCAGAATTATAGATAAGCTTCATTATTATAATTCAGAATTATAGATAAGTTGCAGTTGCTCCAAAGATGAAACCTGTACACAAAAATTTCTAACCCAACATAGGGTGAGTTTAAATGAATGTGTCATTGAAGTTTAAGGATTTTTTTTTCTATGGAAACTTTTTTATTTTTTAAAATTTAATTTTATTTTTATAAAGTAGTTCACAATATTTGATTACATTTAATATTCGAACACCAGTCCCACCATCATTTTTTTTTTCTTTTTGGGACACATCGGCGATGCACAAGGGTTACTCCTGGCTCTGCACTCAGGAGTTACACCTAGTGGTGCTCAGGGGACCATATGGGATGCTGGGAATCGAACCTGGGTCGGCCGCATGCAAGGCAAATGTCCTACCCGCTGTGCTATTGCTCCTGCTATCAGTCCCACCACCATTACACCTTCTCACCGCCATAATTTGGATGTTTCCATACTGAACCGAACCCCTGCCCCAAAGCAGAACCGAAATAATTTATTTTGTATTGTTTGTTATGAATAATCTGCTAAGGATTCTTGTTGGAGGTTAGGTTGCATTTTTTTTTAAAGTAGAAATTATACAAGTAGTACTGTCTTTTGAAAACAAGTGAAACAATAGACTATAAAAAATAAAATTTGAAAGTCTACTTTTCTTTTTCCAGGAGTAAGCTATCATTGACAGTTATGTATTATTCTAGAATGTTTT